GGGGGGGGGGGGGGAGGCGGGGCTGGATGGGTTGGGACGGGGAGAGCGTCGTTCGCTTCCTCTCTACATGGTGTTGTAGACGGGACTGCTGTGCCTAGGCCTGACCTGCAGCCTAGCGAGGGGATGGGTTCTGCCGTGCTGCTGTTGCTTCTTGCTAGCTGCCTTCGCCACCACGCTGGCCACCACGACGCTGGGCGAGGGCACCGGCGGCCTGCCGGGCGCCTCCGAGGGCGCCTCGGTGAACAGGGACGACGAGTGATTGTTGATCATGATCGGCGCGGACCGCCTCGAGAACTCCGGCGCGATCTTCGACTTGGCCGGCGGGTGGACCTCCATCGAGTCCCAGTCCTTGTGCGCGCGCAGCTGCACGTCGGAATTCTTCCTGGAGTCCGGCTTGGCCACCTCGTACTTGCCCACGAGCACCCTCACCGAGAGGTCCTCCGCGTTGTCCTGCGACGGGGTCGCGTCGCTCCTCCTGCCGTGCTTGTCTTTGGTTTCGCCGACGCTGGACGACGGCTGGATCTTGGACTCGTTGTGCGGGATCACCGGCGACGACGGCAGGCTCCTGATCTTGACGTCCCTCTTGGGCCGCACCGCCAACGACGCGGTCTCGCCCTCGCACGCGGCCTCCGGGCTCTTCTCCAGCTTGGTCGACTTCGCCTCGAACTCCTTCTTCAGATTCTTCACTATGCCGGAGGTGCTGCGCGGGCACTCCGCCTCCGGCGAGTCGTCGACGGACAGGCAGCGCTTGTTGAACACGGACTTGTTGCAGAGGTTCTCCAGGACCATCTTGTGGTGCTTGACCGACGGGCACTGGGGAGTGTTGACGACGCACGGACTGGACGTCTCGCTCTCCGATCGGCAGGACCTCAGGGACAACGGCAGGTCGGACTCGGAGGAGAGGGAGGACGGGGCGGGCGCGCTCGTGGACAGCCGTCCGATCTGGCGCATGGACGTGAGGGAGATGTCGATGCTGCCGACCGGGCTCGGGGAGTCTCTACTCGCTTCTACTTTAAGATTATGTTCCTGAGTGGGCGACGAGTCCCTCCTGCGCGGCGTCGGCGACGGCATGTGATGCAGCAGCACCGGATTGTACGACTCGACCGGGGCCGGCTCCGTCTCGCCCTTCTCATCCGAGCTCTGCGTCGTGCACACGCGTTTCACCCCGCCCGTGCCCTCCTCCAGCTTCTGCTTGGTACGCTTCACCGTACCCGGGTGCCACGGGATCTCCTCCTTGTCGTAGGGGAACAGGCCGCTGGAACCGAGCAGGTCGGACGGCCGCATGTCGTAAGAGCCCCAGGAACTGTTCCTCGACGGCAGGGTCGCCCACGAGCTGTGCACCGAGTTGTTATCGAGCACCACCGCGCTGTCGTAACTGCTCCAGGAACTCTGCCGGCTCGGGGACTCTCTGCTGACGGGGTCGCCCCGTTTCTCCTCCCGGTCGAACACCCTGTCCAACTGGGCGCTGAACGGATCGCCCTCCTTCCTCGCTCTGTTCCCCGAGACCTCGGGACACGTCGTCGTCGCCCTCGTCCCCACCGACGCCGTGATCGCCGTCGTGGTCGCACTCGTCGTCGCACTCGCGATACATTCACTCTCCACACTCACGCCTCCGTTAGTTTTATTGTCACCACACTCATCGGCACACGTTGCATCCGTGGACGCAGTCCAGACTAGACATTCACTATTATCGTCGATCTCGGTGGACTCGTTCGTCTCGTTCCGCCTCGTCTTCGGACCCTCGCCGGGATCCCAAACTTCCTCTTCGGAAGGCGCTCTCGGCTCGACGGTGCTCGCGGGCTCTCGCGCCTCCTGCGACCGCTCGCAGTACGGGTGGCCGTTCTCGACCGGCTTGTCCTCCGGAGGCAGCGGCGGCCTGCCGTCCGAGTCGGATCCCGGCGACGACGGCTTACTACTGGCCGCCTCGAACTGATTCGTCAGGTTGAGTACCAGGCCCTTCCTCTTCTGTCCCTGAGTTTCCAACTTACTAATCCTATTCTTTACGCTAGGTGTGCCGGGAGAGGGGGCGGGCAGGTGCACTATCTTGTTCTGCGACACGCTGTAGGACTGCCCGTTGTCGCAGGGCATCAGAACGTTGCGCGCCTCCTGCTCCATCGCCGGCTTTTGATTCGAGCCGCGAAGAAGCTCCTCCCGTGTCACCTCCGTGCTCCCCGCCTTGTCGATGCTCTCCAATGATTGCGACAGAGGAACTGCAACACACGGCGCGAACGGGCGTCTTCGTCAGTGAAATGCATGTCTGGTTTGTTCGTTAGTAAGGTGTGCATGCGTGTGTGTGTGTGTGAGAGAGAGAGTGTGTAATCGTCTCCGTGCTTCTCCGTGCGTCACAAGGTGACGGCAAACTCACCGGAAGGTAACATGTTCTCAGCGATCTTCACGTTCGGCGACCAACTCTTCGGTCTTTGGCTGCTCTTCTTCAGTTCCGAGCCGGAGACCTCGCGCAGATTGTTCTCGATGTTGTCCGACTTCTCCTCCTTCTTCGACTGGTCCTTCACGGACGTCGGGGACTTCAGGTTCGTGTCGGACTTGGACCTCTGTAGCTTCTCCTTGTTTTTCATCGCGTCGAGGATACCCTGGTACGTCTCCAGCTGCAGGAGGAAACTGTTGTTGGGTTTGATGCAGTTCCGCTTCTCCTTAACGTGCTTCCAGGCCTGCGAGAAGTCCCAGTTGTAAGCCTTCATCGCGTAAGCTATCACCACCGAGGCCGACCGGGACACGCCCATCTTGCAGTGCACCAACACCTTGGAGCCCTCCTTCTTCGCCTTGGTGATGTACTTGAAGGTGTTGTCCCAGTGCTTCAGCAGGTCCGTTTTCTCGTCGTCGTACACGCGCACGTTCAGGTACGTGAACATGCCCGGGAAGAAGTTGTCGATCTCCCGGGTGACGTTCAAGATGTGCCTCACGCTGAAAGCACCAGGCAACGAGATAACACAAACCGAACACACTCCGTCCACCGGCAAGCCACACCGAATGCAAAACTACATTAAAGTAGATTAAGACGGCATCTTTTCGCTACACCTTATCTCTTTTACGGTACGGCTTTCTTCACGAAGTTCAATCTTTCGAAAATTGCACGATCGACCGGGCGACCATTCTCGCGCATGTTTATTTCAAGACTTGAAGGAATAGGAGTTCAATAATTTAATAGCGCAATTTGATGTTAAGTTACATCTAAACGTGGAGAAATAATTCGTGAAGTGCACACACGAACTGCCGATTAAATTGATCGAACGAGGGAAGATATATATCGAAAGTGTGTCACCGTTTCATCTCGCCACAGAATTAAGGACGACTGTAAAATTCTCACGGCGACGCGATACGACCACGTGAGGGGATATCCCTGAAATCGAGCGTACCCATTTTTCTGCAGTTCCTCTAAATTGCTGGCGTTCCATTCGCTCCCGAGATAGACGTGATCGAATATCTCGGTCGGCGCATCCATTTGCCCCAGTATGGTGAGCATCTCTTGATCGATAAACGGCTTGAATTCCCCGAGGTCCATGTCGAGATCCTCCTCAAGTCTGCCTCTAATGTACTTGGAAGTAACTTCATCGAGGTCCACAGACATCATGATCTCCTTCAGCGTAGATCGGATCACGCGCTCGGTCTCCTCTCTCTCCCTGGGCCTTATACATTACAGAAGTATCTTTATTAGTATCTCGTGATAATTATTATCTCGCACGGATAAGCCCTCCGTAAGTATCCAAAGGGGCGATAATTTCCACACGGCGGAGCGCTTTGTTACTTTCTATCGAATCTATAATATTCTCATTGGATCTCTTTTATCTTTAATAAAACTAGTTATTGAACATGATTTCTCGTAATCGAGTTCTTTCGAGACATCTCAAGTTAGAGGAGACAGGTGGAGAAAAGGATGAGAAAATTGTTTTTCTCTTAAAAGTGAGAAAAAGCGAGACATTTCGAAATAAGTGAGGACTTAATAAAAATTACTTAATACAAATTGCCAAATTATGATAGAAATGATCCCGCAATGACTATTCGCCGGTGCACTGGATCGAAATTACTCTTACCAAAATCTAAAATACACGACGCGTGATCGTTCCAGCTTCCATTCCCGGGCGTCGTGCGTCGTGTCCAATCGTTTCGCGATTATTTCATATTTCTGTACGGACACACACAGCGACGAGAGATCGCCGAGATAAACGATACTAAAAATGGACTCGCGCGAGCGGTTCGCCCGACGATAAATAGAGGCGGCCCGAAGTAGAACGCAGCGCGGAAGACGCGCGGGCTACACATCGATCACCGGCGGGGAGCGCGGCCGTACTCCAGGATTTCGTAACGCTGGAGAATCCAATGGTCGAAGTGACCTAATACCGCGAAATGTTTAGCGCTCGAAACGGCGGCGGGCGCGGAAACTGGAAATAATTGAAGGACGGCTGTAAAGTTATGCTCCACTTGTGCGCGTGCAGACACCCAGGGAACGCGCGCGCATCAACAAACCTCCTCCCCGGCTCCTGGCACGGCACCAAGTTAAATTCGCAGCGGCCAGCTGCCCGCCGACGGACAGCATCGTCTTATATGCGCGCCCCGCGAAATCGATTTTGCCCGAACGTGAAATAACGTTTCGGGGACGAGCGTGTCGGTCCGCGAGACGTTTATTCCCAGACTCGCGATCCGTCGCCCCCGTCGTCGGCCGATCAAGACGGGATATTTTTGGTAGGAGAGAAAACGCGACAAAACGAGAGCCTCGGACTCACTTGGTGCGTACGCTGTCCGGTGACGGCGGTCTCTTGGACTCCAGATTGTCCATGGCGTGCCACTCGTTGAGGCACGACCGATCGCTCTCGATTCGTTGCTCATAGTAGCTGACCCAGTCGTGAGACAGTCCACCTAGAAAATAGTTTTGCTCGCGTGCCTTACCGGACACCTTGTGCAACGTCTGCAAGGCTGACCTGGAAAAATAGAGAGGGGAATGTCAGAGGAGCGAAGATGAGATCCGTGAGAAGAAGCGAACCGAAGGGGGATGGGCAATATCGTAGGAAATATCGATGCTTCGTATCGATGCCGCATCGTGAATAAAAATATTGATACACCAAACGTATGGGTGTGCNATATATATATATATATATATATATAGATATACGTTTATATTTCATTTACGAGTTATATGTATTAGATTTTATATAAAAGTTTCCATTTCAGTTGCTTCGATCGGTTAAATTTCAACCCAATCTCAACCCTAGTCTGATGGGGCTTTACGGACCGCATCGAAAGTTCAATATTCCTATTCATATATCAACACACACATGCTAATATCGAAAAATAAAATATAGTTATAAAATATCGACAATAGAGCCCGAAAGTAACGATATTTGAAATATCGACATTGTTCACCCCTAAATTGAAGCGATAACATAAAATGACCAATAGAAGCCGACGGTTGTTTCAGTGTCTCCAGTAATGTCTCGAAATAATAATAGAACAACAATGTGAGTTAATACTTAGATCGTTTACAGCTTGATCAATACTTAAGGGACAAGAGTTTCCTTATCGTCGTATTAAAAAAAAAAAACCATGCATCGGTTTATACTCGCCATTTGAAATCATCCGAACTTATTCAGAGTCATTTGCAATTCTTCGAAGCAATAATGCCGCACGACGAGCGGCAGTTTTGCATCGCGATAAAAACCAGTGAAAATCTTAAAGGGTGAAAAATAATCGGAGAGAGGGGGCAGAGTTTCAATTTACACGCTCTTACATCCTCGTTGTTGACTCGTTATCTTGCGCTTCTGTAAAAAAACGCGCGCGCGTTCCTCATCGCAAATCACCGGCGCTGCGATCTCGCGGCAGTTTCACGGCGTTTCGCGAGTACGACGAAATGAATCGGCGCATCTTCGGAAATCGACGAAAGTTCCCCGTATTCGGAGAGAACAAAGAAAGTAAGTGTACTTTCTAAACGCCGGCGGTTTACGGGAAATATCTTTGTGCGTCCGGATTTCGTCGGACAGCGAGAGTCGATCTCGCATCGCCACTATACCCCCTTCGGAATTACCATAACTAGTAACTTTCCCGCTCTCCCTGAAATCTATTCCGTACGAGCAACGCGGTTTCCCACGGCATAAACGCTCGCTGCGTAAGGCAACCGGTAAGGAAAAATAAAGAACAAAAAAGAACAAAAACTATTGGCCAATGCTTGAGAACAGAAGCGCGTCACGCTTTAAATCTCTTCGAAGCTGCGGGCAAACGAAGCGATCGCGAAAGGATAAAGCATGATGAGCGAGCGTTAATTGAAACTTTGTGCCGGGAGGAGAGATTTCTTAACGAATTAATGAAATCACGCGGGAAAAATGAGCGAAAAGTCGAGGCAATTGGCGAGATAAAAAAAGAAATACACAAGTTAAAATAGACCACACGCGACTTCGCGACCGCCTGCGCAACTTGCATTCGTTGCATTTCAAATTTGAGCCGTGTCGTTCGCTAAATGAACGCGACTCGTGTACGAGCTCATATACATATGTGATGTCATCGATATAGTTCGCTGAGCACAGTTAAGCCACTCCATTGATTCGTTCCAGCAGAACACAAGGCTCACAAAACGTTCTACCAACTTATTACACGTGTAGAGTATAATGATATACGCAAAGCGTGCAATGAGACCTAAATGCGTTGGGAGCAAATTTCACAATTCAATCCGGTCACTGCGGCTTCGCGAACCGATTATACGCGCGATACGAAAGAAAGCGACTGCTGGAACAATTGAGAAGTGAATATGGTAAACGATGAAAGTGCGTGTGCGTGTGTGTGTGTGTGCAAAAAATTTTAATGTCCGTTTTTTCGCGGCTAATGGCAGCATGTGACCTTTACAAGCACTCTTACAATCCAGTGAACCTTTACAAGCACTCTTACAATCCAGTGGAATGTGCTAAAAACTCAGTCAGATACAATTCGTGAAGTGTCGCTAATGATGAATGTATCCACGGAGTGATCTGAAGAACGCTAATTTTGTACTTGGCACTTTTATTTGTTTACCATATTCAAACCTGAATTAATGAAAGTTGCGCGACGCGTAGGTGCGTATGTTTTCGGAGGAGGCATCTACCTATTTATATACTCAAAAGTAGGTAATTTATTTCATATTTGTCTCCTAAACTTGGCCGCGTTCACCGTCCGGTTTCTACTCTAAATCAATAAACCAGTTTACATTGCCAATCACTTCCTCCTCTCGAACGAGGCGAACGGGATTTCCTGTCTAATATTTTTTCACGTTTGCTCCACGCCACTACTCGCAAACTACTCACATCCGCCATCGCGTAAATCATATTATATAAGCTAAAAAGCAAAGAGTGCCACGGCTTATTTCTCATTTATGCCTCAACGCTTTTGGATTTGGGCGGGCTCCCTTCAATTTTCGCGATTTATTACCTCCTATTAATCCGATTTATTTCATATTAATGGCGAAGATCTGAACTCGCGACATATCCCTTGTATTCTGCCGGCGCGTCTAAAAATAACGTTGCCAAATAGAACACAGCGACCGCTAGAATGGACTTTCCTCCGTGGAAGTTACTCAAAAGATCTCGCAGATATCACTTTGAAATATTTCGAATTGGGAGCGAGTGGACTAAATTTATTCGTCTGCAAAATTACTCTGTCCCAATTACTCGCGCGCGCGAGAGGTGCATAGATAATTCAGTGGCGTTGCATCGAGTGAAACTCCGAGTTGTACACCCCGTATAAATAAAGAAACGGGTTTTACGAAAGTGGGCAAAAATCACCGCCGCTGTTGTACTTGACAGAGGAGATACAAAAGTCACATTTGACGCGCGCGCGCGACGCGGTTAAAATAAATCCCGGGTAACCGCTTGGGTGTGACGGGGGACGTCGTTTAAGTAGACTCACGGAGAAATTGTGGAGTGTTTTTGGTGGCAAGAACCGCAATAATCTCGATTCTTATGAGGCATATCCCGAGTTTCGTTCACACAGCACGGCAGAGCGCGTATAACCTGTTCTTCTATAATAATCTCAAACCGGTCCCTCTCGCGCAACGTGAGCGTTCCCGCGAACGTGTGGGGACGCAGTTTTTCCGGGGATTAATCAGCTCGCGCTACGAAATTACGCGAGCTGCCCGTGTCGATCCCCGCCGATCGCCGGACAAATAACACAAACCGTGTGCGTGAATTAATTATCAAGTTGGAACTTCGGGCGTTGCACTCGAACAGCAAAAAAATCACAACAGTATCAGGCGTCGCACTAATACAAACTTTTACCCGTGGTGTAATGAAATTTTTTTCAGTCGCGTATCCTGAGATATTCGCAAGCGAGATATGCAGTTTCAACACTTTCAGGTAAATAACATTCACTTTTCCCCACCGCCCCGGAAATTTTGCAAAACTCGTTTTAATTTTCTCCATATTGTCGCTCGCGAGGGAGATATCGACGCTCCTTCGGCTCTTTTGTACTTGTACACGGAAAAAAACGTTTGAATTTGTCAGAGCGAAGGAGCCAAAAAGCGTTTGGTTCGTTTACCATTTAGTAAATTCAACGAAACTTTTGTCCGTGTTCAATTAAATATTCCTGCATTCGATTGTTTCCCGGGACTGTCTCGCGGGAATCTCATCGGAGCGGCCGAAGTCACGCGCGACGTGCGCGTGGTTTTCCCGTTACAACGCGAGAAACCACCCGACAAATGTTTTCGACGACGCGTCCTGAGAAACGAAGAAACCTCGGGACGTCGTTACCGTCGGCGCTCGGCCGTGACAGCGCCGTCGCATAAGAAGAAAGCGTGATCGAAGATATCCACATCGCCACGGCGAACAACAAGTCTCTCTCTCTCTCTCTCTCCGCGGAATCATCCGTACGTAATATCTTACGGGACGCGCCGATTATCCCGACTTTACGCAGTCGGAGGCCTCGCCGAAGCTCGCGGCGTCTCGATCTATCCCCGTAATTGCGTTGCCCGTGCTTTGTTATCGTCTATGAGAGCTGACCGCGATAAGAAGCTTGACAGTGCAGCGCACGTTAGACACGGTAATCGCAAGAGTCCGTCTCTCGTTCGTCCAGGTGTAACACACGCGGAAATTACGTTACCATCGCGAGCGCAATTGCTGATCCCGGATGATACATTCGTACGCGGACCGCGTGATCGACGATGCCCCCTTTTCATTTTCTCGATCGAGCTGGCCCGTACAACCATTTTCTCAGGGATCCTTTGAAATCCTAGTTGCACACCGAGGGGAATCCAATCTGCACAGCTAGAAAACGATTGGCCAATCGGAAGCTGAGATATTCGAAACTGAAGATGATCTTTCTTACGTGTTTCACGAGGCTAACCCTCCGTTAGTTTTCACCCATGAATGGTTTACAACGGATCTCACTTTAGCGCCTGAGGAAAACTTCAAGAAGCAAAGGAAAATGACGGAAAAATTCATCATATCTCACATGGATACACTAATTTTCCCATTATTTTCCTCCGAATCTCGAAACTATTTTCCTTTAATCAGTACTTGGCCGATAGATCGGGCGCTAAAGTACGTGGGGAAAATTTTTTAACTTCTTCTAAACAACATTTAGGATTTCAATGAAAGACTATCGTGATGTTAAGGACTGAATGCAAAGATGTGCAGAAATTTCTGACCGTTTCGTTTTGAAGACATGAAAACTTGAAAACCCGACACTCTACGAATCAACTACCTTAATAAATGCCGGGGGTGAGCGTGTGGTGCAAAGTACGACGTATACAAGGCGACGCAGAAACGATCTTCATCGTTTGCGAATTTGAGGAATTTCAAAAGTCGTGATCTCCACTCGGTACGATAAAAGAACTCCACTACGTACGATAAAAGAAATAAGAACGCTCGTGAGCCACACTCGTGCTTCCTGATGATACGCACCGATCAAGACGGAAACGCTTCATCCTTATCGTCCGCCGCGTTCCCTTCCTCGGCACTTCGAT